AAACAGAACACATAATATAACAAAGATATTATCATATCGTTTTTATTTTGTTGCATTCATTACATTTTGATTTTAAATTGCCGATTTTTTTAGAATGAAGATTGAGTTTGTATTATTTTTGACAACAACACTTCAAAGGATCTTTAGGAGAACGACGCGCACATTCCCCAGCATTGTGGTAACCAGCTTCACTACAATCATTTGAACATTCAAAAGTGCCGTATGTATCCGTACATAGATTATTGCAGTGGTCATATGAGAATTTTTCAGTCTCTGAACCTACACAAACCAACATAAATAATAGTTATCGTAATCGATCAAAACATATGCGTGTCCCTATAGAGTTATATAACATATCAACAAAAATAGTTATAGTTTAATTACCAAAAAAAAAAAAAAAGTTATACAACATGCCCAAATGATAGGCTTTTCACGAAACTTTTAAATGCATGTTTATATATATACGAAAACACAAATCCATGATCATTACAAATTTTACATGTTTACCTATTGCTTTTAAAATCATCACCACTAGTTAAAAATAACTAAATTCAAAATTAAACATACCTAAGACGAAAGCGTTATGGTTGGACAATGAAACTGCTAATATTACAACGAAAACAAAAGTTACCATAGTTTTTGTAATACCCATAGTAATTTGTTTGTATGAAATCTATTGAGAGAAATTAAGATGTTTTTAATTTTTTTGATGTCAAGTGAGAAAGACTCTATTTATATAACTTTTGGTCTTGGGATTTTTTTACTATTAATTGATTTTCCATATGTGCACGTAAGAATCATATTTTGGGCAAAAAATCCATAGCTATTTATTTGAATTTTGGCATTTATCGTATATGGCCGTTTTTGATATTTACAGATTATTAATTTAGTGCAAGTTCATGAAATCTATAAAATCCAAAAATATTAGATTTATAATTATATCGCCTGATATTTCAGACTTTATATTTGGTCTAATATATAACTTTTTTCAATTTTGACACCATTTTACATATATTTCTTTTTTTTCCCACYTTTCACAAATTCTTTTAAGGGATAATTGCAAAAATACCATTTTTTGTGTGCACACTTGCAAAAATACTATTTAGAAGTATCCATTTGCAAAAATGACACTAATTATAGATTTATAAAGCCTATATTTTAAAATTATAAACTCTAAAAAATAATTTGACCCCTAAAACTCTCTAAACACTCAAAACTAAACCCTAATACAACATAATTAACCAATAAATTATATAATGAAAAATAATTTTCAAAAAGTTGCATTTTTGCAAAGATTTTGAAAATGTGACAATTTTGAAAAATTACACTTAGAAAGTGGCATTTTTTGAAAATTTTCTTCTTTTAGTCCAAATTTAAT